CGAGTAGGGTATCATATAAGAGCCCTACATTCGGGATATTTATGCCAAAAATTCGTCTCCCTAACTAGAAAAACTGGTCTGAACTTTTTCAATTTTTCAGACTAGATTCAGGCTGCATTTCAATCCTTTTTAGCCAATCTGGACTTTGAACTTCGTTTCCGATAACTGCTTTATAGCTTAGCATTATGTTTCATTCACAAGATAAATGGGTCTGAATTTTTCTGTTGTGATTCGTATTTTATCTTGCATCTATTGCAAACTTTATTTATCTTAATTAGTCAACAGGTTACTTACATATGACCTTCACTTGCCATTCTCTCCGGCGGAGAGAATGATCTCTATCTTTTTAATGTTTTAACTTTAGACTAATTCACATATATTCTTTTATTCTTTCTAATAGTTTAACTTAGAATTAGCTACAACAAAGTAATATTTTATCATGGCGCAGTCAGATAACGAACCTAACCTGAGAGGAATACCATACCGTAGATCCCCCCATTCCCTGGGAAGATTGGAGCGATCTGTTTCACTTAGCTATAATCGCTAAAGAAAATATAGACATCGAAAACCTACTAAATCTTTCGGAGAGACATCATCCTCAACCTCCAAATTTGGAAAATTCGTTGGACGGCGAAACGGAAAACCCAAGAAAGTCGAAAATGGACAGAAACGTTCAAGGACAGAGACGCTACGACGAAGAGGAATCAACTTCCATTATATCCGAAACCAAGAAATTCAATGGAATGCGACAGAGGAAGCAGATAAAAAGTTACGATCAGTGTTGTACCTGGCCTTAGGGAACGAAGGAAAAAGAATTTTCGGACAAAAAATTAAAAAGGTAAAAATCTTGCAAATTTCAATTAAAGAGTTTTGGGACTTCTTAGCAACCGCCTTTGTAAGAAAGACAAACGTCACATTTGAGCGACACAAATTGCTAAACCGAAAACAACGTGATAGAGAATCTCTCGAACAATTTTGGGGTGCCTTAGCAGAAATTTCTAAAAAGTGCGACATAGCCGGGGGAGAAGAAGAGTGGATAGAGATATTTTCATAAACAACATGAAAAACTACGACATGCAAATGAAAGTTTTAACAGAAACTTTTCCAACACGAGAAGCAGTAAACGAAGCACTCATCGAGAAAAAGGGAATTTTAAACCACTTAAAACTTACAAACAATTTTAAATCCAACGGATCATCTGTACATAAACCGCACAGCCTTTTCACTGTAAAAAGAGAGCCAACTCTCAATATAGAAAAGAGCAACACCTGCGTGAAGTGCGGCGGAAACTTCTCAAAAGGTCACCTAGCAGTTTTCCCAGCAAAGGATACTACCTGTACCTCCTGTAAATACAAAGGTCACTTAACCAGACTAGATGTGACTACAATCTTCGGCGATGACGGAAAAGAACTGAAGAAATTATTAAATATTGGCCTCGGAAAAGAAAATTAAGTTATTTTGAATATACAAGTGGACTCAGCTAGCCCGGATAGTTTCCTCAAGAAAAACGTTTTACACGAACTGAAACTTCGAGACCCTAACTTAAAAATCCATCCAGTGGACAAAGCAACCAAGGATCTTCACTGTGGATTCACTGACAACGTTATAAACATTTCTGGAAAGGTGATACTGGAACGGTTGGTCAAACAACGACTGTCATTTCTTCTTGACCGAGGGACACGAGAGAAACATTCTAGGATTTGACAACCTGCCTAAAGTGGGGATAGAAGTCTCGCAGAAGTACTTCCCACATTTCCAGACTCACAAGCAGTGTAAGTCCATAAATTCTATTTCTCCATCAAACAAAGATAGAGAAATCCTAATCATATCAAAAACATATAAAAACTTGTTCCTTCGGAGTGGAAAAATTAAAAACCAGATAAAAATTTCCCATTTTCACGAACCCCTAAAACCGATCCAACTAAAAGGAAGACGAGTTCCCCTCCACTATGTTCACGAACTGGTAGACAACGTCGCGGCACAATTTGCAAGTGATTCTGTTGGAGAAGTGTGGTTTACTAACCTAGATTTAAAAAATTCATAAAGTCAACTCGCATTAGACAAGTTTACCAGCGATCAATGTAATTTCAGTGTTGTGGGCGGGGATATTACTGGTACATACCAATTTCTAACTAGTTTTTACAGACTAGGTGATATGCCTTACGAATTTCAAAGAGTAATGGACTCAACGTTTGTCTATACCACACTTGAAGATGGTTACAAGGACGATTCGACCGCGAAAAAGAATCAAACACCATCAAAGAAGGGTTACGACACAGACTAGGCTTCAACTTCGAAAACCCACACTGATACAATACCTCTTCAAAGCCCCTTCAAAGGTAAAATCCTTCGGAAAACAAACGGAACCATCAACCGAGATCCTTTCTATAAGGAACTTAACAAAAGAATTATAAATTCGTCTACTTCGACAGTAGAATTATCCGACGGAAAAATAATACAAAAATCTGACATTGCGATTCCTAAATCAAACTCGACTAAGATTAGACCTTTCAAAGGAAACATTTCTTTCCCTTATTTCCCTAACTCTAATGATGAAGTAGGTCAGAAGCACGAGAGTTCGAGCAGGCCCAGAAAGCCACAAACAAAAACGCAAATCCAAGCACAGAAAGCCACAAATAAAAACTCGCAAACAGGTCGAATTAGGATCGTCAAATAACTTGACAAGGACACGCGCGTCGGGGTTATCCTACAAACCTGCTCGGAGACAAACTCGTTGGTCGAAGAAGTCGACAACCCCTCCAGGTTATCTTGCTTCGGATGAATCTATGCTAATTCCTTTGGATATATCTGATACTAGCGACTAGGAATGGATAGCGGGTGGTTTCCCTTGTAGAGATGTGGCTAGAGAGCGTTTTATTTCGGACTCTTGTAAAAACCATATTCAGAATGGAAAATCCCTGAACTCTAGTTTGCTCAAAAATAACATTAAAACTGAGATTTTAGAGGACATCAACATTCAAGCCGGAGACCAATTTGGGGATCAAACAGTGGAATGCCCAATAAGCATCATTCCGACAGATCGAAACCCTACTTCACGCGACCAGAGTGTTACACCACAGGCGGAAGACACCGAAAACAGCAAGCTACGGGAGTTACAGGACAACTCTAATCCGACGGACAAGGACACACCAACAGACTTCCCGGTTTACGAAATAGTCGAATCTGCAGACGATTCAACTCCGACTCCCGTCTCTTCCAATAAACCTGGTAATGACCCTCCCATCATTCGACGCTCTAGTAGGAATGTAGAACCAACAAAATTGCAAAAGATAATTCATAGATGTTGTAGATTTACCTCAAGAGATCTCTGGCTCTGCATATAACCCAATTGTAATAGAAATCGACGATAACATACAACAAGAAGCGAACAATAGTCCAACCCCGGTGGAACTAGTGACAATTGACTGTGATTCCCCATCTCCAGATCAAATTTCTACCTCCTCAACCGATGAATCCCTACGAATGACTATTGATAATTCAGAGATCATTCAGAATTAGATAGTGATCTTTTCAACGCAGAACTTGAAGACTTTTTAGATAATTACAGAAACTGTAATTGATAACTTACAACCCAACTTCATTTTGAGTACTTTTCATCCCATATCTTGTTGCTAATCTACATCATGCTCGGATTCCTAATTTCAGAATACTTAGATTGTGTAATCTTACTTTAAGCATATTATTCCTTCGGATTAAATAACCAGTATTTCCACATTTGTATTTCCAAGATCCTTCGGAGTGCAGTTATCTCAATTTCGTTCATTCATACCACACCACTCACCAATTTATGCTTATAAACGTTACTCAGACGTTCGGTTGCATATTTGATTAATTCTGGGGGCATATCCGTCGGATACCGGATAACTCTTTTCTTTTTTTAAATACTCTCGCATTAACTAGTGCCATTGTTAGTATTTAGTTTAATTATTCAGCCGCTTGCACTTTTGGTGTAATAAAACTTCTTTCTCTATTCCCCAAAAAGGGGGAAAGGACTCAGTTAATTTGTAATTACCTATTGGTGCTAGTTCAAATTTTTTCTGCTTAGAGGAATGTTGTGATTCGTATTTTATCTTGCATCTATTGCAAACTTTACTCATCTTAATTAGTCAACAAGTCACTTACATATGACCTTCACTTGCCATTCTCTCCACTTTTTAATATTTTAACTTTAGACTAATTCATTTTTATTCTTTTATTCTTTTTAGTAGTTTAACTTAGAATTAGCTACAACAAATTTTTTTTTTATCATTTTCCATTTTTCACAAAAACGGTCAGACTGATTAGTTTTCAGACTGTATTTACAATCCAATTAAATTTAGATTTTTCAATTATTATTGCTATTTTTACCCTAATATCTCATTAAGCCCATCGTTTCCTTCTGCTATCTGGCTAAAAGACCTAAGGTAAGAAGAAAAAAATGAAACTTTTCTTTGAAAACGTTTACATTTTTTTTAACCTGCACAACAGAACCATTCTAATTTTCTTTATTACTGCCTTCTGATGGAATACAAGACAAAAAAGTTTCATCATCATTTTTTTAATTTTTTTTAAAGCCATTTTTGTTGTGAATGGACTCCAAAAAAGCTTAAAATAAATTGCAAATACGAAAAACAGACAAAACATTAGACTTAACCTTATTTGACCTGAAAAACAAAGTCAGTGAGAAATACCTATGCCCAGGTAACTTTTTGAAGTTCTTTGAAATCACGAATGAAAAGTCTTGTATATAATCTCATGCTTAATGTCCTCTGAATATTCTTGGAGAATCTAGGTATTTAGTTTTGCCTAAAAACACTACCATAGCTCTATAAAAGATCTGAAAAGGCCAAAAATGTTCCCAGCCATTCTGGAGTGGTCTAAAAGACAACTTTAAGTCTCAACAAAAAAGTAATGATGAAGATCTAATTTATAATGCAAATTTATTACAACATTGGTAACCATCTAACAGTTTTACAAGAAAAGGCGATAGATTTCACTAGTTAATGCAGTTTTGAAGTATGGTATGATTAAGGCACTTTCTATCTTTCAAGAAATTAAAGACACACTTCATTCATTCACCCTCAAAGTTATTGGGTGGGCTATGCTGGGAGCGAATTAAGTTCAGTTGAGCAGCATGGTTTGGAAAACCCAGTCGGTGTGTGGTATCACGCTAGCATACACACTCCCGTCCTTGCAAGTTGCCATCTGCTGTGGATGGGTTAGGGGGAGGAAGTAGCTGGCCACCCCGTAGAGACAGTGGGGGGAGATGGATGTCTGGCATGAGAACGAGTAGAGGGGGTTGCCTTCGTCCCCAACACAGATGTTTGAGTCGTCTGTCACTGTATCTGTGCACACGTTGCCAGGAGCACAGGTCTACAAAAAAATCATTAGTAAATAAAAAAGTGTGACTACTTAGTTTCATTTTTTTGTAAGGTTCCACGCAATGATGCTTTTGGTCTGAAAACGAGATTTATAGCGTTTTGATACCATTTTTAGAAAAATTATATCTTACTTCTGAATTTATTTCATGATTTTTTAAAAAAAATGTATAGTGCTATGGCAAAAATTCTATATGAATGTGTGAAAATTCTTGTGTGTCGCAATATTTCAAAACCCTTACAATTTTGATTTTGATTCGGACAAGATTTTTCACATGTGGCAAGCAAATGAGAACGGGGCAGTACAATAGTGCCGAAGAAAAATGTTGTTAAACAGTGCCGAAAATCATCAACTTTCGGCACTATTGAACACTTTTTCTGTTTCGGCATTGTTTTGCCCCCGTGCGAACATTTCGAAATAAAGAACATTTTGAAGTTTCAGTAAATAAAAAGGTCTTTAAACAAGCAGTAAAGTTTTTATCTATATATCTTAACACAAGTTTTAGAGTCTGTCAATATTAGCAATGCACTTTTCGCTGCTTTGTTGCAGATTTTCAGAAAGATTTAACTATTATCTTACCTCGAAGTTGAAGGGATCTATGTTCTCGAACATCGACTCGTAAAAGAAAACCTCCTGGATGTGAGTTGGGATTGTCAGCTTAGGTGCCGAGGTAGACCCAAGGCCACATGAGCCCAGGATGGTCCCTAACTCTGGCTCCACCTGACATATGGGCATCACTCTGTGATCTGGGTAGTGAGTTTTCACTTTGATGAGGGCGATGTCATTTCTACGTTTTGGTCTCTGCTGAAAGCTAAATAAATAACACAGGTTTAGTTAAAAAAATGATTCTTTCCAGACATGTTTAATAGCATAAATACCGGATAGTTTAAAACAGCTTTTCAAGTCCGATTAAACCGACATATGCGGTATAATTCACCACGCGTAAATATTTCGCGTTAAACATTCAGAATCAAAGTAGAACACGAACAGTTTAGTTAGACTCGCCTTAGATTGACCAGACAATCACGCTAAAATAGTTGTGTGCGCGTATGACAAGGGCCCACGTAGCTCCAAAAATCGAACCCCCAAATCAGTCAAAAATGGTCTGAATGAGAAAACGAGACTGCTCGTATATCAAGGCAAAGCCCTGCATGTTCCGACTGTCCCTGTTTCCATACCGAATAAAAATTGGGAAAAGACGATGATGAAAAACTAAAAATTTTGGACAATATCAGGGATCAGGTGTGAAAATTTGAGTCGCACAAACTAAGTATGACCATTTATCTGACCCCAATTCAATTTGGAACGATTTTTTTGTGAGGGATATTTCGAAACGCATAAATATTTCCCGTTATGTTTTCAGGATTATGGATAGAAACTACACAGCGCGCATAAATTAGTCCTGAGCGTGAAAAATTGTTGTTAAAAACTATAATTTCGATCGCCGAAAAATGACAGAATAAAAAAGCCATACCAAGCATAAATGTTCAGTTTTTTCAAAAGTTGGAACAAAAACTACCTCAAGCACATATGTTCATCGCTTTCTTCGAAAGTCGAAAGAAAAAATTGCGCAAAGAAACTTTTTTGAAAATCATCCGCCCACACTCTATGTCAGGAATAAAGTGATGTATTTTTCATAAAGAAAAGTATGAAATATGCCAAGGAGCTTGTCTCAAATCAACGAAATGAGGAACGAATCTAAAACGGGTTGAAATTCCGCTTTTGCGTTGATAACACAAAAAATTTTAAACGTTAATTATCCCAAAATGGCCGTATTGGCAATCTTTAAAACCCCATAACTTTACGAAAACTGATCACAGGCAAAAAAAACGAGGACATTTGTATTTTTTTTAGAAAATCGCGAGAAAAAAACATGGGCCAATTTTTATCCGTTAGCGCTTTCATCAAGCCCAATAACAATTTTTTTATATTGCAAATCTAGGTAAAACTATAAGGAAAATTTTTTTCGAAGTTTTCTTTTGCTTTAAATAAGCTTAAAAAAGGGTTTGGGCTTGTAAATTGCAGGAGCTTCGACAAGAGACATACGGCCAGACGAGAATCTTATACAATTTTTTTTGAGTTGAACCATTTTCACCCTATTTTACAATGAACTATTTTACAAAGAACTATGAGTAAAAAATGCAAAAAAGTGAAAATTTTTGACCAAGTATCTGTCTGACCACTTAATTCTGGGCTACTGGCCAGTTTTTATTGGTCTGATTTCACTTTTGTTTCTATGACTCATCAAAGCGGAAAGCACTCACTTTGGGGCAATGAAAACTGCTTCGACGTGTGAAGTGTGAATGGCGTCATACCAACAGTTGAACTCCTTTACTCTGATCTGATCAACTGCAAACAATAAACAATTAAACAAAAACGAAACTAAAGCGATGATTCAATCATTCAGAGGTGGAACTTATCATTTTTTTTTTGCTGGTAGGGTCATTGAACAAGTAAATTTGCTTTATAACGAAGTTCTAGTTGCTCAAAACACATACTTGTTTAGGACAAGGTCAAAATTGAATTCGAGTTCAATTGAAAAGTACAAATAAATGCCATAGGGCAAGTTATAGGGCAACCCATGGGGCGGATCTAGGGTTTCCTAGGGTTAGATTTTTGAAAAATAGATCGATCAAATTTATTTTGCGACCTTTGCCAAAGCACTAAAAAAACCCTGTATCGGCCAAAAATTTAGCGCCGCAGGCAAAATTATGAAAAACACGTTTTTAGGCATTTTTTGGAAAACGTTGACCCAAAAATCGCGTTTTTTTGGCGCGCCATCCCTCAAAGTTAGTATATATTGTCGCCGAAGGCGCCCTTTAAAAAATTTTAGTACCCTCTCTAAAAATAAATATCTCAGACTTGTACAAAGGGGGACCTTTTGGGTCGGCAGGGGGTCGAATCCCTGAGGGGTGGGAGAAAACGTCAGCCCATTCCGCCATTAAATCCGCCCCTGGGGCAACCAATGTTTCAGAAAAATGTAAAAACTCTCAATTATTAGTTATGAGTTGCATAATTAGAAGAAATTTAAGAAGAAATTTCTCCGCTTCTCGAGAAAAAAACTGCCAATCAAATTCAAACTTAGCAAAAACTGATGTTTTTCTCTTGATTTCTGGGGTGAACCCTTTCACGAAATTAGCTTATTTCTATGAAAAGTTTTGTTGTTCATTCAGTGGTGTTATATAAGCATCAGGCTCATTCATTTTAGAAAAATTGGATTTTTTGTAGCTTTTTTAATCAATTCTTATACTTTTTCTTATAACTGGGGTCGTATCACTATAAGCTTCTTGCTCAGCGGCTGATCTTCTTTTTATTAATTTTACTTTAATTTAATTGTGATTACATTTATAGTTTTGGACACAATTGGCAGCAGTCATGACCCAGCGACGGTCCACGATAGTGCCCCCACAGAAGTAACTAGGCACAAGAGCATCCGGGTTCTCTCTCACGTCAATTCGGACGTAGAAAGGTTTGCACTGAGAATTTATTCCATTGATGATCGAGGACTGAACACCGCTGGAGCCGACAAGTCGAGGAAGGTCTAAACGAACTCTCTTATGAATTCAATTGTAAAACATTCACAAACAATAATTATAGTTTCTTGCGATTAGAAAAAACTATGATCAAAAAGTGATTAGGCGACTTCTATTAAGAAACAAGCTTGTGAAAAAAGAACTGTCGGTTTCTCACAACAGAACCGACGTTTTTGTTCCCTCCTCAGGGTTTTGACCTTTTACCTTCCAAATGGTCCCCTTTTAGTATGATTTATAAACATCCATTTTCGGCCCACCAACCGCAAGCTTATTTTTAAGGTGTATTTTAAAAGACACAAGGAGAGGGCGAGGGGGGGGTCTGTCTTTTTGGCCAAACATTTTTTTGGTCTGTTTTTTTTTCAGCTAAGAAACAGCTTGTGACGCAGAAAGTTTTGTGAAAATAGGCTGTTTTATATGTTTTCGAAGAGCTGGAAAAATCGATTTGGCGATTTGGTTATGAACTTAAAAAAAGCGGGCACAATTTCTGTATTTTTTTTCTGCTGCCTTCTGAAAAAATTAGATCTGCCTCTGATATAAGTGTGTATCTGATAGGTTTTGAAATATGGGGTATATTTGGAGAGCTGCTAAAACACGCCCTCTTCCCACTCAGTAGTCAAATTTATACAATAATCCATTGTTTAACAATAAGTTGTACGATTTTAACCATTAAGATTTCGTCAAGGGCAGTAGCGGATTTAGGGGGGGGGGGGGGGAGGTGGCGGACGCCCCCCTCAGGGATTTGACCCCCTGCCGACCCAAAGGGTCCCCCCTTTGAACTATTCTGAGATAACCATTTTTGGCTGACGGACCTTTGGCGCCAATGTAAATTAATTTTGAGGGGGAGCGCGCGCCAAAAAAAAACGCAATTTTTTGGTCAAAATTTTCCAAAAAGTGCTTAAAAACGCCTTAAATTGGTTTGGGAGAGCTCAGAAAATCAATTTGGTCGACCTAAAAAAGGTCGACAAAATTTTCAATTTTTTTTTTGAAAATCCGCCAACCCCCCCTCGAGAAATTTCCGCGCCTCATCAAGGGGGTCGTTTTTTCAAGGCGACCTAAATGATTTTCCGAGCTCTCACAAATACTGTAAAAACCTATGTTATCGCAATTTTGTTGCACCGCACCTCAGTTAAAAAACGAATTAATAAAAGGAGTCAGAAACTGGAAGTTGTTTGGAGTGCACTCTCCTCAAAGTTAGTATAATTGGAGTTCAAGCGGTTTTAGAAACTTTTTTACGTACGCCAGTATCGATGAAATTTTACCACAGTGCGGATGCTTTGGTTAATCATGGGGCTTAACCCCTGACAAACAAAAAAAAACAAAAATAAACGCCCTTTCCCCTCTCCTAAATCCGCCTCTGATTATAATTAATTTACAAATGAAAATTTCTATTTTTGTCAGAAAAACCATTTAATTATTCCAAATCTCCATTATCCGTAAACTGTCTTGGAAAGTTGCTAAATTTAGATTAAAAAATTAGGCTTGAAGGAAGGCAAACATGAATCTTATTTTAGCAACAAAAAGATAATTAGAAAACAAACCTGTTAAGATATTTTGCTCCATCCTTTTTGACTTACGATGCTTCCGGCTAAGTCGATGCCCACTTACTTCTCCGAAGTCCAACAAATTAAGCAAAATGAATGAAACTGCAATCATTACGGAAAATTTAGGACCGATTTTTTCCATCAATTACTGAATATTTGCCTTTTCTGTGGTTAAGATTTTGTTTGGCTCTTTAAATTCTAAGCCTTGAAGTTAACTTTTAAAAAAAATTATCTTTCTCAGTTCCGCTGCTAGTTTGATGGTTATAATAATTTCAAATGAAATATTTGTAAACCAAACCAGTTTTAACAAATAGCTACTTCGTAATACAAACAACACAAACCAGTTTCGGCCTATTATAGTGATAAATCAATCACGAGAGAAGAATCTGTCGATGTGTAAAATCGCCTAGATTAATTTAGACAAAACCTTGAATTCTACCAATACGTTTAAATGTCAGCTGTAAATAGTTTGTCGGAGGTTTATCTAGATATAGCATCATTTTAATCAAACAAACTAGAGGGCATCACCATTTTGATTTTAAAAGCAGAGGGAAGGATTCTGACAGAGTGTCTGACCAGTTCCTGCACTATCTGATCAAAAAAAAATTTCCTCAAAAAATAAGTAAAAGTTTAACTGATCTGTGTGTTACCTGATATGTTAACCTAGTCCTTCCATTTAAATCAATTTAACAATATTTTGAATCCTTCTGTCATCAGTTGTACACAATTTTAGCATTTAAAAATTAATTAAGTTCCTATCAACTTAAAATAAATTAGGCCAATTTAACAAAGTTTTTTCTTGGCTTGACTATTTTTTCAAAAAGTTTCATTTAGTTAGGATTTTAACATCGCTGCGAAAACTGTTCATTTTTCACTTTTCTGGATTTCAAATGGCGCTTCAGCAGTTTCTATAAATTCTAACAACTATCATTTTTCTCGCCAGTGTTTTGAATGAACTAAACTAATAAAAACTGAGGACACATAAATATGCGAATGAACCCACGTTTCAAGATAATTTTTCTTCAATTTATTTTTTAATCAGGGACTAGTCAATGAGTCAACAGTTCGTGGCATGCAGAAATCATTCAAATTTATTTCTTAGTCACATGCGAGCATTTTGAAAAGCGACAATTCGTTTCAATTCACCATGAACAAAAACATAATTGACGTGCTTGATCTAGTAATGCTCAAGAGCCACATGGCCATGCCTTAACGGGTGTGGAATTCGATATTGACTGTTTCGAGGAACTATGAAGTAGTAAGTTATGATTGAGCTGGTTTGTAAGCCGCGCCGAAGATTCACGGATCAAAATAGATAATATCGAGTCAATCATATCAGAAAATTGCCAATATAATCCTAGATGTGTACAACTAAGCCACTTTTTCTAATATAACACCCAAAAAGTAAGCTTTCAAAACAATTATACCGAATCATAGTTCCATCAAAACCTGTTTTTATCTCCACATAACCTCACGGTAATTTTTTTTGGCCATATATACCAAAATTTATTTCAAACATTTATGTACAATGAAATAAATTTTCATCTCCATAAAATCCCCAAAAATTCTATCTAAAATCATGACTAACGGCAATCCAGAATTTTTCTTTTAAAGCTTTAATCTGAAAACGAGAGCTACCCACATGAATCATTGCAACCATGAGTTAAATGAAAATAAGCAGCAGTTAAACACTCAATTATTGTAAAATCTTTTATATTTTTTGGTGATTTTTAATTTAAAGTAGTCAATTGACAATTGAGGCAAAAACAAGCAAAAGAATTGGAAAAAAATCGAAAGAAAAAAAGAGTTGCGACGATGAGCTCAGAAAAAAGCTTCAGTAAACAAATTCAATCTTATTCGGAATTTTTTCTAAAAATTCCTAATGATTTCAATTCCAAATCAATCGCAGTCAAAAACTTGAGACAAAAGCAAGCAATTAAATCTAAAAATAAACGCAAAAAATATTGGGAATTGCAAAAATGAAATAAACAGTAATCGCAAATCGCCAGGAAAAAAGTCATTTTTACCAGGATTTTTTTTTCATTCATGTTAATTCTAAGTTTCAAAAAAATCAACACTTGGAGGCATAAACAGTTGAGGCATAAATATGCATTTACATCTAAAAAAATACTAAGTAAATGAAGCCTTGCGATTATGATTTCAGAAGTTGTCAGTAAAAACATTCATTTTGCTAGAAATTTATAAAAACTCCTGATGAAGTTTAAATCAAAACAATCTAAGGCAAAAAATAAAGAATGATTGCACCATGAATGCACAATGCGCTAATATGCAGGATGATTAATGTGTAAACTAAACTCGCTGAAAATACGCAACTTAATGGTAATAAGATTTTATGATAGCCGATTGTGTAATAAGATTTTATGGAAAAAATAAACTATACTATGTCGTATGATACATTTAAAACTTAATTGGGATTATATGGAGAAAAACAATAGACTATAATGCAATTATGGAGAAAAACTTATTTTTTGTGTCATTTTAAAAACAGTAGACTATATTGCCCTAGACTAAAAACAGTTATGCTCTGACCCCAACCTTACAACTCCAGTCAAACTTGTTTTAAAACAAAACTGCTCGTAAACAGGACTAAGCACTGATAGTTCCGACTGCTGCCTAATCCATATCGATTAGTTTTTTGGAAAACTTTTTTGAAAACTGTAAATTTGGGTCAATATCAAAGGCGAAATTAAAACGACCAGTTGGCTAGCCTCAACTCAAATTGAAACGATTATCTTGTACGGTATAATTCGCCTTGTATAAATGTTCTGCGCTACGCTAAATTCTACAAAGCGCGCATAAATCAGTTCAGAGCATGGCCAAACTGGCAATTTTTAAACTCACAAAACTTTGTGAAAAAGATCGGAGCTTAAATATCTTTTTAATTTTAGGGAGTCGATAACTTCAATGGGGCATGTTTTTTGTTAAAAGGGATTATTTCCAGCGCCATTGACTGAATAAGAAGGCCACATCAAGCATAAAAATTCTGTTTTCTCGATAGCGGGAACAGAAAAGATTGTTCTTAGTACACTTCTAATTAGACACTAGGAGAAGTTATGAAAAATAAGCAAAGATTTCTTGCACACTTCTGTTTGGGGAAGAAGTTACAGAGACCGAGAAATATTTTTGTTCGATTCTGAAAATGCACTATATGTTGATCTACCCCACCGAGAACTTGTTTGAAGCCGTTTTTGCTCTGCAATTAATGATTTTAATTCTGCGTCGCATCACATCTTGATAATGTCGAGTGGCCCTGTAGAAACGATTTCGAAAATTATGTGAAAAAGTTAATGTAAGGTTTTGACCAGAGGCGTGTGCAAAAATTTTTTTTATGGGTGGGGCGGTTTTTCGACAAATTTTGAAAATTTTGCGGACTTTTGTTTTTTTTTAGGTCGATCAATTTGATTTTCCATTCTATCCAAAAATACTATAAAGAATTTGTTTTGCCAAACATTTCCTGCACCCTATCTGCCAAATTTTTCAAAACCAGGCTAAAAAGCGTTTTTAAGCATTTGAAAAAAGCTTGACTAAAAATTGGCGTTTTTTTGGGGCGCTCACCCCTTAAAATTAGTTA